CTTTGCGACCCCACGGACTGCAGCACGCCAGGCCTCCCTGTCCATCACCAACTCCCGAAGTTGCTCAGATTCATGTCCATCGAGTCGGTGATGCCATCCAACCATCTCATCCTCTGTCATCCCTTTCTCCTCCCGCCTTCAATCTTTCCCAGCATCGGGGTCTTCTCAAGTGAGTCAGCTCTTCCCATCAGGTGGCCAAAGGACTGGAGTTTCAGCTTCAGCATCAGTCCTTCCAATGAACACCCAGGACTGATTTCCTTTAGGATGGACTGGTTGGATATCCCTGCAGTCCAAGGGACTCTCAAGACTGTTCTCCAACACCACAGTTCGAAAGCATCGATTCTTCTACACTCAGCCTTCTTTACGGTCCAAACCTCTCATCCGTACATGACCACTGGAAAAACCACAGCTTAAGACTTTATAGACCTTAACTCCCTTGGGAACCCCTACATTCCGTTAAGCCAAGGTCTTATCATATATTAGGCATACAATGGCAAGTATTAAAGGTGATGACCCTTTCCCTGTGACTTGCTGTGGACTGCACACCATTCTGATGGAAAAGGAACACCGCCCTGACCGCTGACATCACAAAGGGAGCGGACACGTGTGCAGGCAAGGCCAGATGCAGGGCACGCCCTTCACAGGCAGAGACCGTGATCAACAGAACACTGCCCACCTCTCAGATTGCACAGTGGTGGTAGAGTTTCAGGATTTCGGCCACCGTCGTGGACTTTTACTGCCAGCCGCCTCGCGTCGGGGCTTCCCTGGGGGCTTAACGGTACAGGATCCACCTGCTATAAGAGATATGGGTTCCCATCTCTGGGTCGGGAAGATTCCCCTGGAGGAGGAAATGGCAGCCCACTCCAGTATTGTGGCCTGGAGAATCCCATGGACAGAGGAGCCTGGCGGGCTACAGCCCACGGGGTCACAAAGAGTCCGACAAAGACTTAACGACTAAACGTCGACACCCACCCGTTGTGTAGAGCTTACACCGTATCTCTGCGGTCCGTCCTTTCTGGGTCATAATAACAATACAAGCAACAGCGATCACACAGCTGAGGATAAAGCCGTCCAAGCTCCACAGTGTGGGGTGAGACTGGCCATGGCGGACCATTAAATAAGAAAGGATCTTTTGTGAATATGCTTTTACGGGTATGGAGGAACTCGCAGAGGGGAAAGGTATGCTCTGTATAGTTACGCTGTGTCCAAACATTTAGAAAGAAAACGCCCTAACTTTAGAGCATTTTAGAGTCTAAAGGATGGAGCTCTGGCCTGTCTGCTTGATGGCTTCTAGCTCAGCCTGCATGGTGCTTGAGGCGTTTCTTTTAAGCCGATACCTCCCTGTCATTTTATTACACGATCACCTAGAGTCCCCTTCTCTAGGTGAAGAGAGAAAGGGTCTTCCTGGAAAGAAGCCATATTCTTCAAAATGCTCAGAGGTATTGAATTTGTAAAACAACAGAAACATCCTCAGCCATGAATGTAATGGCTTAAGGGGAGGGTTTTATTTTGGGGGCAAAAAAAAAAAAAAAAATGGAAGAACACAACCACCTATTAATATGATACCAGGGTCTACTGTAGATCTCAAAGATTCAAAATACATGCTCCGGTTTTACTCACGACGGCTGAGTAGCAGAAAAACACTGGAAGTGAGACTTGTTTTTAATGAGTGAGGGTGGGAATATGCGTTGATGTAATTAAATAAAAAGTAATCAATACGTGTGATGATACTAGCAAAAGCCTGCTTGCCAGCCAAGACAGGTCAGAGAGCTGGATACAAAACCGGTTACATTAACATACAACACTCATTAAAGAGATAAAATATTCTACTGGCTCACACTACGAAGGACTATTCTACTGATTTACACTGCTAAGATGTGGAAAATGTAAGCTAAGTTACATGCAACATTTTAAGCAGCAGAAATGAAAGAAGGTGGGCTTGTGCGAGCTGTATGTCAAAGCCCTGACTATAATGAATTCTTCTTGCCGATCCCATTAGGCAGAATGTTCTGGCTGCCTTTCTTTTTCCTAGTTCGTGTTCATCATTTGACTCACTTGTGCTATCCGGGAGCATTACAGAGAAGGCTAGAAAGAAACTCAGAATTTGCTTCGTCTGAACTCATCAGTCACAGAGATTTAAGAGGTCTCTCAAGCTCACACAGATAGGGGAAGAGCTAGAAGCTAGAATAGGGCTGCAGTCACCTTGTCCAAAAGACGATGCTCCTGCCAGGGTTTAAATGAAACAACGAGACAAAAGTTGTTCTTCTCATCGTCACGGTTGGTGACCCTCACCAGGTTCTGTGTGCTCATAACGCAGAGCAAGAAAGAAAACTCCACAGCCACGTTCGAGGATCTCCTAAACACCTCGATGAGAAAAACGCTGAACTCAGGGTACAGCAAGGAAACGAAGGACGACAGAAGGGGCAAAAGGGAAAAAAAAAAAAAAGGAAATGTGGCAAAAACCTTGAGCGGCCTGTTGACGGTGCCGCTGACTCACTTTTGTCCAATTTTGTGCAGAAGGCGCCAACGACCTGAGCACCCGAGGCATTGCTGGAGCATGCAGGGACTGAAGGAGAAGTCCAGAACTCTCGGGTTTTCCATCCCTCTGATTTACCCACACACTCTGGCTTCCCCTGCACTGTGCAGAAAAGGCCGGAGGCTGCTTAGCTGTGCAAGAGAACAGTGCAGGCGTGCACACGCAGCTGTGTCCAGCTCTGCAACCCTCTGGACTGCAGCCCGCCAGGCTCCTCTGACCACGGGATTTCCCGGGCAAGAATACTGGAGCGGGCTGCCACTTCCTCCTCCGGGGGTTCCTCCCGCTCCAGGGATCAAAGCCAGGTCTCCCGTGTCTCCCTGCATTGCAGGCGGATTCTTCAGCCGCTGAGCCATCAGGAAAGTCCCAAGAGAAAGCGCAGTCACCATGATTTCATGCCGAGGTGCAAGGCACAGTTTGCACAGGAGCCCCCCCGGGACTTCCCTGGAGGTCCGGTGGTAAAGAATCTGCCTTCTGATGCAGGGGACGCGCAGGTTTCGATCCCCCGTTGGGGGACTAAGATCCCACATGCCGTGGAGCAACTGAGGCCACTGGCTGCAACTATTGCGTCTGCACACCCACAACTAGAAAATCCACACACTACAACAACAACAACAAAGGAAAAATCCCAGATGATGCCAAAAAAAAAAAAAAAAGTTCCAGATGACACAGCTTAGATCACAAGGGTCACAAGGGAGACCGGACGCAGCCAAGTGAAACACACATTTAAAAAAATATCTTCTAGAAAGGAAAAATTCACTAACAAGCCTTTCAGGTTGCTCCAGAAAACAAGCCACGTCTCTCAGGAAATAGGGTAACCGGCTTAGGGAGGAGGGACCGAGAGAGAGCCAGGGAACCCCCGCCATCCTCGTAGAAGCAGCAAGAAAGACACAAGCCGGGACAGGAGACACACGGAAGGCTAACAGGATCCCCAGAAGACGACCTCAAGGCCACCGCAGCGAGACTGTCCACTGCGGTAACGGCGGGGCCAGCCTTCTGTCTCCCAAACCTGCCCTGTACCCCACTGTGCCGGAGGCAAGCGGCTGCTCAGATTCAACTCCTAAAAGAGTCAGTGGCGGGAATCCCCTGGCGGTCCAGGGATTAAGAATCCGCCTTCCCGTGCAGGGAGGGGACTCGGGTTCAATCCCTGGCCGGGGAAAGAAGATGCCACGTGCCACGGGGCAACGAAGCGGGCATGCAGCCACTGCCGACCCCAAGCTCCACACTCCCCGCTCCGAAAGGTTCCTGCTGCTGCAAAGTCGCTTCAGTCGTGTCCGATTCTATGGGACCCCAGAGATGGCAGCCCACCAGGCTCCCCCGTCCCTGGGATTCTCCAGGCAAGAACACTGGGGTGGGTTGCCATTTCCTTCTCCAGTTCATGAAAGTGAAAAGTGAAAAGTGAAAGTGAAGTCGCTCAGTCGTGTCCGACTCCTCGAGACCCCATGGACTGCAGCCCACCAGGCTCCTCCATCCATGGGATTTCCCAGGCATGAGTACTGGAGTGGGGTGCCATTGCCTTCTCCGAAAGGTTACTGAAGGCATCACAATGAGATGCCCGTGACCCTCAATTAGGGAGCAGCTCTCACTCGCCCCAGCTGGAGAAAGCCCAGGCACAGCAATGAAGACCCAGAGCAGCCAAAAATTAAAATAAATACATAAAGAGAGCGTAACGGGAGGAAAGAATAAATGTTGACTCTTTTTCCTTCATCCATCTCTTTGATCACCAGCCCACAGACCCAGACTCCCTGGCGCTGTATCCATCGGCAACCTCAACCACACCCGGGGTTAAGATGCTTTTAATATGCTGGTTGTGGAATGATCTGAGAAAACAGCATCGAAACATGTATATTATTAAGTGTGAAACAGATTGCCAGTCCAGGTTGGATGCATGAGACAAGTGCTCGGGGCTGGTGCACTGGGAAGACCCAGAGGGATTGGGATGGGGAGGGAGGTGGGAGGGGGGTTCAGGATGGGGAACACGTGTACACCCATGGCTGATTCATGTCAATGTATGGCAAAAACCACTACAATATTGTTCAGTGATTAGTCTCCAACTAATACAAATAATTGGGGGAAAAAATATATATATACTGTTTACCTGTTGTTTGATCCCTGAGTTGGGAAGATCCCCTGGAGGAGGAAATGGCTACCCACTCCAGTATTCTTGCCTGGAGAATCCCCCAGATGGAGGAGCGTGGTGGGCTACAGTCCATGGAGTCACAAAGAGTCGGACACAACTGAGCGACTAACACTTTCACTTTACCCGCCACACTTGGTGTTCGGTGACTTTTTTTTGGAGCACAAAAAACAAAACAAAAAAAAAAGCACGTGCTGTCTCTGATGGTATCAGACACACAGGCAGACTCTCAGAAGAAATAAGCTAGGAGGCAGGAAAGGTCGCAGCCACTTCTGAAGTTCAGACTGAAGACCCGGGGAGCCCACAGACGGAAGATGCAGGGATACATACCGACGCTCCAATCCATCTCCTCAACGGCATCCCCATAGGCGCCGTGTTTACTTTTGCCAGCAAACTTCTTCGAAGAGAAGAGAGCCGTGTGCACGTGCAGGAAAGACAGGACAAGCAGGAAAGGGGTCTTGGCATTGCTGAAAAACATAAAAAGCCAAGGGCAAAATAAACACGTTGGATGCCGTCTGTTATTGCTGTTTAATTCTGAAAGTGAAAACGCTTATTCCCTTGGTTAAAAAAAAAAAAAGAAGAAGAGAAATATCCAGCTTGCAAAAGTAAAATCAGACTGTGAGGATTTCCCCCCTTGGTTTAAAGAAGAGAAATATCCAGCTTGAAAAAATGAAATCCAACCGTGAGGATTTCCCCCGTGGGAACAGAGGTGTCATCAGTGGAGCCTGGGGAATGTAGGCTGGACAGATCGGTCACTCTGCCCTGCTCACATCCTCAGCTGTGATGGACAGCTTGCTCGTTGGGATGAACAAAGATCCCCTGGAGACAGGAGAGGCAACCCACTCCAGTATTCTTGCCTGGAGAATCCCATGGACAGAGGAGCCTGGCGGGCTACAGTCCATTGGTTTGCAAGATTTGGATATGTGTGAGCGACTAAATTACCCACTCCGTATCCTGGCCTGGAGAATTCCACGGACTGCACAGTCCATGGGGCTGCAAAGAGTTGGACAAGACTGAGTGACTTGCACTTTCTTTCAGAAACCTACGCTCAGCTGTCCTTCCGGAGAGATGGCAGGAAGAGACCCTCACAGTCCCATCTCTCTTCCTCTCTATGACCTTGAAAACGAAATGAACAATTGAGCAAGCTGGCAGGAGGGAGTTCTCCCCATAACAGCTTCACTCCATTTTTTTTATTAGCTGAAGCACTTCAGTAAACAACTCTTTTGAGAATTTATTGCGTCCAGCCACGCAGGCTGTGTGAAGAATAGAACTTTTCAGCTTGCTACATGCCCTCTCTCTGTTACAAATACAGAAGGCGGCTCTCTGCACCTTGCCAGCAACCCAGGATCATGCCAATCTCAGAATCACAAAGATTTACACCCTGTCCTCAGGCGGGAGTGAAATCCAGGCAGGAAGGCAGCTACAGTGTAATTCTTTTCCTGCCTGGCACAAAGGTCTTGCATACTTTATTCCTCTTCTGAGAAAGTGTCAGTCGTGTCCGACTCTCTGACTCTGCAACCTCATGGACCATAGCCCGCCAGGCTCCTCTGTCCATGGGAGTCTCCAGGCAAGAATGCTGGAGTGGGTTGCCATTTCCTCCTCCAGGGGATCTTTCCGGCCCAGGGATCAAACTCGTGTCTCCTGCATTACAGGCAGATTCCCTACCTGCTGACTCATCCAGCTGAAATTTATTGACATAGTCACTAAGTCATGTCCAACTCTTTCAACCCCATGGACTGTATGTAGCCCACCAGGCTCCTCTGTCCATGGGATTCTCTAGGCAAGAATACTGGAGTGGGCTGCCATGCCCTCCTCCAGGGGGTCTTCCCGACCCAGGGATTGAACCTGGGTCTCCCGCATTTTGGGCAGTTTCTTTACCATCTGAGCCACCAGGCAAAGCAACCTCTTCTGAGTGTCTGAGCTTTATTAATCACTGAGCATTCCCATTTGTATCAGCATCGGGAATAATCGGAATGCAAATACAGATGGAAAAGACCCTGATGCTAGGAGGGATTGGGGGCAGGAGGAGAAGGGGACGACAGAGGATGAGATGGCTGGATGGCATCACTGACTCGATGGGCATGAGTTTGAGTAAACTCCGGGAGCTGGTGATGGACAGGGAGGCCTGGCATGCTGCAATTCATGGGGTCGCAAAGAGTCGGACACGACTGAGCAACTGAACTGACTGACTGACTGATGGATGGCTTCCAAAGGCCATCAAAAGCTGGCAATCGGACTAAGGTATAAACCAAGAGACGGTGAAGGACAGGGAAGCCTGGCATGCTGCAGTCCATGGGTCGCAAAGAGTCGGACACGGCTGAGCAACTGAACCACAGCCATAAACCAGACAGCGATAACAACAGCCAGCCAGCCGGAGTTCAGGTGACCAACACTCTGCACTCGCAGATGGACACGTCCCATTGTTCATTTCATCCACCGAAGCCTCTGGCAACTAACTCTGCCCACGCGGCACCAGGCACTCAGAATATAAAGCCAGGATGGACCATGCCCTGCCATCAGCCACCCAAAGTCCAGAGGAGACCATTCAGAGTTGGTTGGTCTGAGCTGCTTAAAGTGCTGTGACCGATCGTATCAGAGGATGGATACAGACGAGGAGCGTGACCTTCAACCTGGCGGCGGTCAGAACCCGCTCCTGGAGAGAGCGTGCAAAGTTCCTGCCGTGCGTCAGTGTGTGCGAGCGCTTTCCATAAATGTGCCTGTGTCTGAGCCACGATCCTCCCAGCCTCGCTATTCAGACACGGAAGTGGACGATGGCGGAGACATAACCCGAGCGCTTCAAAGCGTGGTTTCCCAGGCTCTTCATTCCAACACACCTCAGAATACACTTTTTAATTTTTTTAACAGATTTTTTTTTGATGTGGACAATTTTTAATGTCTTTATTGACTTTGCTACAATATTGCTTCTGATTTATGTTGTGATTTTTTTTTTTTTCTGGTCATGAGGCATGTGGGATCAGCGGTCCCTGACCAGGGATCTCACCCCACACCCCTTGGCTTGGAAGGCAAAGTCTTAACCACTAGAAAAGTGTCGAGTTTTTAAAACCAAAAATTATCTATATAGATTTTTTTACACTGTCTGAAAGATACCACTCATGGGGCTTCCCAGTGGCACAGGGTTAAAGAATCTGCCTGCAATGCAGGAGACCCGGGTTGGATCCCTGGGTGGGGAAGATCCCGTGGAGGAAGGCATGGCAGCCCACGCCAGTATTCCCGCCTGGAGAATCCCATGGACCGAGGAGCCTGGTGGGCTGCAGTCCACGGGGCCACAGAGTCGGACACGACTGAGTGGCCACACGCGCAAACACGCTCACACACTGTTATACGAAGGCCAATACTTGAGGAGCAAACTCTGCCAACAATTTAAACTCCCCAGCTTTTCTACATCTTTATACCGCTTTCACGTTTTTCAAAGTAGCACGTGCCATTCTCAGAACCACAGAACAATGAGGATACATCTTAAACATAAAAAGGAAGACAGGGTGGACTACCCTGGTGATCCAGGTGATTAAGGACTCCACGCGTCCAATGCAAACAGTATGGGTTCAATCCCTGGTCAGGCAACTAAGATACCTTCTGCTGCACCCAAAAACTAAGAGCTAAAAATAATAATAATAATTAAAAAAAAACAAAACCTGAGGACAGGAAAACCATGCCAGCCACCTCTTCCCCACAAAAACAGAGGGAGAAGATACAGATCCCCGGGTCTCAAGGTCAGCCTGTGTAAGGAGATTTCAGATAATGCTCTGATTTTCACTTCTGCGGGCGTCCCTCCACCTACAACAAGAACCTCAGCTTCCCCAGAACGGCCTCATCTGTCAAGCGTCCTGACGGGCTCTGTCTGCGAGAGGACCCTTTCACAGATGGCCCTGCCTGCGACTCTGTATTATTCGTAAAGATCAGGGGTCCCCAGCATCCAGGGTCTAGTGCCTGACGATCTGAGGTAGAGCCGATGCAATCACAATAGAAATAAACTACACAATGAAGGAGACAGGCTTGAGGCATCCGCAAACCACCCTATGGCCCGCAGTCCCTGGAGAACACTGTCTTCCATGAAACCGGCCCCCTGGGGCGGAAAAGGTCTGAGGACTGCTGCAATAGAGCCTATGGCTCTGCACCCACAAGCAGACTCTGAGGACTCGACTATGGACATCATCCAGGATGGGGCTGACCCTGGCACGCCCATCTGAACTTCAAAGTGCTGGAGTTCAGCCGTACGTGCCCACTTCTGCCCCCAGAACACAGGGATGGAAAAATCCTTTGATGTTTCCGGTTTTAAATCACCCGGCATTCATTTGTTAAGTATTCTAACCCAGAGACTGGAAGGTATTGAACGTCTGTTGAAAACCAAAAAAAAAAAAAAAAAAAAAAGTCAAATGTCTTTATGTTTCAGGCAATAGGAAAGGAAGTGTTAGTCGCTAAGTCACGGTTGACTCTCTGCGATCCCCATGGGCTGTAGCCCGCAAGGCTCCTCTGTCCCTGGGACGCGCCAGGCAAGAAGACTGGAGTGGGTTGCAGTGCCCTTCTCCAGGGGATCTTCCCCACCCAGGGATTGAACCCAGGTCTCCCGCGTTGCAGGCGGATTCTTCACCACTGGCGCCACTTGGGAAAGAAGTAGCAAGTGAAACTGTTGCAAGAGGCCACTTGATAGTAAGAAGCGTGAGTTCCAAATGCTTCCCCTGGTTTTACTTTTTCTTCTCCTCCTGTTGCTGCTTCATCTTCTTGGTTTTTTTTTTTTTTTCCCCCTTCTCCTCATTCTTCTCTTCCTTCTTGTTGTCTCCCGCTTCCTCCTCTTCCTCTTGTTTCTCGTCACCTTCTTCTGCCTCCTCCAAGTCTTACCCGCGGCCCCGTGGGTCCCTGGGCAGAGAAGACAGACTCACAGCATACTGATGAGAGTCACTGTCCACTCTCTACTCCTCTCCTTCCTCTCTGGAGGAGGCCCTGGTTAAGTGGATGCAAGGGTCCTCACCGGCTCTCTCTGGGGACATTGCGGGTGGGGCCCACCTAGCCCGCGGGCTCACCATGACTTGCTCTGGAAGCAGCGACAGGCACTATGGTTGAGCGAAGGATGCCAACCACTCAAGACGGCTCTAAAAGGTTTGGGGTGCATGGGTACAGCAGAGTGTAGGGGCGTAGCCCCTTGGATGGGTCGTCCCAGGGAAACACACCAGACAAGTAGCATCCGCCTTACTGAAACAAGACACCTCAGTTCAGTTCAGTCGCTCAGTCGTGTCCGACTCTTTGTGACCCCACGGACTGCAGCACGCCAGGCCTCCCTGTCCATCACCAACTCCCGGAGCTCGCTCAGACTCATGTCCGTCGAGCCGGTGATGCCATCCAACCATCTCATCCTCTGTCCATCAAGTCGGTGATGCCATCCAACCATCTCATCCTCTGTCCATCAAGTCGGTGATGCCATCCAACCATCTCATCCTCTGTCGTCCCCTTC